AATAGTATCCTCTTCAATCATCATGTTCAGTTGTTTTATTTTACATTGATGGCCTGGAACAAATTTCTCACCACATTTAAAGCACATATTGTTTTGTCTTCTGTACTCTATTAAATTCTGTTTTGGTGGCAAAGTGGTTGAATTCTTTTGTGGAATTGGTAACTGAGTTGGCTTAGAAACATGTAGGGAATTTGGGTAGGGTGGGTTTCTAAAAGCTGGCCTCATTCTCTTGCTTTCAAATTCAACAGATAATTCATACAATTTAGCTTGCCTGTATGCTTCAGATAGTGTCTTAGGTTCTAGTGCCTTGACTCTATGTTTAATATCATCCCTTAATCCACTAATAAACAGAGGGACAAAGAATTCCTCACCTAGTGTAGGATTCTGTAAAAGCATATGAGGTTGTAGTTCTTCAAATCTGTCCTGATACTCCACAGACCCTTTCTGTACCAGCTTAGTAAACTCTTTCACTATATCAGCAAAGGCCTTATCAAAGAACCTATGACATAGGTCTGCCTCAAACTCATGCCATGTAACATGATGTTTTTGCATGATGTAGCCATCAAACCAAATTTCTGCTTTACCTGTTAAGTACATTGTAGCTACTTCTACTCTTTGTTCCTCAGTAATACTACATAATGAGAAGTATTTAAGGCATTTATGTATCCAACCTCTTGGATTACTACCTTCAAAAAAAGGTAACTCGATTTTAGGCCTGTGCAACATAATCCCTGAAGTATTATAAGACCCCCCTGTGCCTCTTCTATCCATATCTAAACCCACTATATTGTTCTTAACAACACTATTCTCCCCCACTTGAATATCATTTTTTAAGCTGGTTATGTGAGTAGTCAACTCATTTGGCTTAGATTTTAGAATTCCAGGCTCATCAGGTTTATAAGTAAACCTATTTTTGTCATTAACCACTGTAACCTGTACAGTATGCTTCCCACTCATGTTAGATGAATTAGGGGTCTGTACCTGTTCCTCATCAGGTTGATTTTGATCTCCTTTCCGGCCAGTCAAAATCCTCAAAAGCTCTTCCACGTACCCTTGATTTGTAGCCATTATAGACTCCACAGCAATGATACGCTCCTCTTGATTCTCCCACCATTTAGGAATCTTGGTTTCATCCTGAGATTGCTTGACCAAAGCAGTCAAATCTTCCAATTGTTTCTGTAGTGCTGCAAACTCTGATGATTCAGTCATGGTCTGGTTTTTCTTTGTCATTACAACGTCAATAGCCAGGAAAAATCAGGCTCTCGATACCAATTTGTTATGAATGGGGTAAAAGAAGAAGAAATAATCGAAGGAATGGGGTTTTTAGAAGCAAAAAGACAAGATTACAGAAAACGTTCTCATTCATTCATTTCATAGTTGTTCTTTCTGTTTACATTGCCTTTATTTACATACAATCATAATAGATTCTGTTATGCCAGCTGGACCTCTCTCTAACCAATTCTGTTATCATAACAGGAATTGGGCTGCTGCTGGGCTTTCTTTGCTCCACTTGTATCTGCTGGACCAGTCTGCTGAATCTACTGGGTAATTACTTTAATTCCCCCCGTACTCCTCACGTGCCCTGCTCTCAGGTAATTACTTCCCAATTCTATCTCAATCCCTAACCCTTGATTATTCATTTCCCCTAATTCTCCTTCAATACTCATCTCTCGTCCTCCCTCTTCTCCCTCTCATCTTCCCTCTCCCACCGTGACAGATTCCAGATTCATTCCTCCTACGCATCCTGCAGAATTAGTCCACCATATCTCATAGCATCTTGAAGCTTCTACTGCTAGTGAGGAACTATCTTCTCATCTGCAGCCTATGGAAGCTGATCAGGAAGTTGTTGATGTTGCAGATATAAATGTTAATGGTGCAAATACACATGGCCTTCATGTTGTAATCGTAGACCAGGAAATGGAGCAGGCGATGGGAGGAATCAGAGAGCACTGTTTGAATTTTGTGGCTTTGTTTGAGAATCAGGTGAGCGGTTGGAAAGCTGATAGAGTTGTTAGTAAACTTGGCTTCCCAAATTCATTTCTCGTGGAAGCATATGGATTTAGTGGCTGGTTTGTGGTTGTTTTGGGATGACACAGTTAAGATTGAGGTATGTACTACTATCTCTATTCAATTCATCAATGCCATGTTTATGATTCTACTAGGTGGTCTCTTTTTCAATTTACATTGGTTTATGCAAGCCCTCAAGCTTCTAAACGGCGTTGTCTTTAGGGAAAACTTACGAATCTCAATCCATGAAGTACGGTCCCTTGGATTTTATGGGGGATATCAATGTGATTCTCAATGCCGATGAATGTGTTGGTGGCTCTTCTCGGAAACTTAATGGTAGCAGGTTGTTTGATGATTTTATCTCAAATACGGGTCTCTTAGATATTGGGTTTCGTTGACTGCCTTTCACTTGGTCACGCAGCTCACTTCATCAGAGACTTTATCGTTTTATTGCTAATGCCAATTAGATCTGCTCGTACATGTCTGCTCATGTTATTCACTTGGATAAGCTCAGGTCGGACCATCGGCCTTTACTGGTTTCTCTATACGAAGATTTCAACGTTCCTAAGAACCAAACTTTCAGATTCATTAATGCGTGGTAATCTCATCCGTACCATTCTGGTTCTTCTGCCTAAAGTTCAGAATCTGAAGAACATAAGTCAGTTTCGTCCTATAAGTCTTTGTAATGTTATTTACAAGGCTATTTCTAAAATTTTTGTGGATCGCTTGAAGTCGCTGTTACCCTAGTGGGTGGCGGGTAATCAAACCAGCTTTGTCCCCGATCGCTATATTACAGAAAATATTGTTATCACTTAGGAGATTGTGCATTCCATGCGCTGAAAATCAGGTAGTCAGGGTTGGATGACCCTCAAGATTGATCTGGAAAAGGCTTATGATAGATTGGAGTGGGACTTTATCGATGATACGCTTGTGGATATTGACATTCCAGATGACATGCACAATTTAATTATGCAATGCATCACCTCGTCCTCGTCGCAAATCTTATAGAAGTGTTCTTTGACTGATACCTTTAAATCATCTAGGGTATACGGTAAGGTGAACCCCTTTCGCCGTATATCTTTGTTTTATGCATGGAGCGTTAGGCTCAGACGATCCAGGTTGATACCATGCAAGGAAGATGGAAGTCATTCAAAACATCGTGCAAGGAAGGTGGAAGTCATTCAAAACTTCGGCTTCGTATAATTACTTAGTGCAAATGATACAACGCACGCTAAGTGTTTGGAAGGCTCAAAATCTCTCTTTGGCGATTCGTATCACTTTAGAAAAGCCGTGCTTTTTGCGATTCCTTCTTATACGATGCAATCTGTAGTTATTCCGAATAAAGTATGTATGGATATCGAGCGTGTTATCCGTAATTTTGTCTGGGGCTCTTCAGTGACCTCTAATAGTGTCCATCTTGTGCATTGAGACATTGTTTGTAAACCTATTGTAGAGAGTGGGCTTGGTTTCCGTAAAGTTACAACTCAAAATGAAGCTTTTCTTATAAAATTGGTATTCCGTGATGTGTTGCTGTGTATTACTGCTTTTAAAGGCCCTGTTGGCTTTCCTTTGATGGATAAGGATGGTTGGCAAGGTTCGAACGATGGGGACTTCTCAATCAAGTCCGCTTACAACATTACATGTGGACCATCAGTTGCGCCATGAGCTGAAGTCTGGAAAGCAATTCATAAGTATAGGGGCTAGCGAAAATTAAAGCGTTAATGTGGCTTATGTGCTGGAACAAGGAGATGCCTAATAATGAGTGCATTCATCAGCATTATTTTTTAAATAGCAGCTGTTAGCTGTGGAGCAGCCGTTGAGGATATTAATCATGTGACGAGAGTTTGTCCGAGTGTTGTTATGGTTTGGAATTGTTGATAAGGATTGGGACCTGTTGTTTGGAGCCATCCTTTGGAATCTTTGGATTAATCATAATGCCATGGTTTTTGATTCAGACAACGCTAGTGATGGGAGCGTTCTTGATGGCAGCAAGCATTTGCAGATGGTCTCTATTCCAGCTTTTGAGGGAAATAAGCAAATTGTAACTGTGGAAAATCCAATAGTGGGCAGCCCTTGTTGCTGGTTGCCTCCTCCTAGTCAGTGGATCAAGATCAATACTGATGCAGCACGTAGGGATGAAGATGGGTTGGCCTCATGTGGTGGTGTAGCTCGGGATGTGTTGGGTTATCGATGTTGAACTTTGGGGTTCTTTAATTGGTCTTCAACTAGCTTGGAATGTTGGCTTTCGTAGGATCATTCTCGAGGTGGATAGCCTTGACGCCGTCTGTATTCTCCGTCAAGACTATCAAGGTCATCACTTTCTAAATGATCACTTCGGTGCACTTCGCCGACACACTTGTACGGTAAAGATTCGGCATGTTCGCCGTACGAGAAATATGGTGGCTGAGATGTTAGCTAAGCTTGCTTGCTCAGATAATCTTACTACTATCGTCCTTGATAAACCACCGGTAGGGGTGCGCTCTCTTCTTAATAGGTTTTAATTTTTATTATTACCTTTGAATATGAACTATTTGTGGATAAATTGATTAAAAATATAAATCACCTTTGAAATGAAGTTAATTTTTTAAATTTCAATAGATAAAAGGTATCGAAAAATATTTCAAGTTACAATATAATATAAACTTCATAATTTAAGAAGTAAAAATTATTTTAATTTAATTATAGTTATTATTATAACACGAATAAAATAATTTCAATAATTAAAGATCTTCAGAGATTTTGAGTTCAATTATGATATAAATAGTTAAAAGCCTTTAATAAATATTAAATTATACTTTATATTAATTTTCTGTTACATTTTTATTATAATTTAAAATTTTAAATTTTTACATAAAGGTATTTTTTAATTTTAATTTACGTTTGTCATAATTAATTAAACTACTGAAATTTATCTATAAACAATTTATTAATATACAAAATTAATTAAAAAATTCCTTTAAAGAAATTCCCGACCCACTCTAATCTCTCTTCACACATAGCTCGCCGTCAAAAAAGCCTCGTCTTTCTCTTCCTCCTATTTTATCCTCTCTTCCCAAACCCCTCTTCCCTTCTGTCTCCGACGCACCTGGAAATCGAATTGGGTAAGTTTTGAAACGCTAAACTTGAACTTGAAACCCTACGTGCTTTTTGACCCAATCCATTTATCTTGTTTCTTTGTTTTGGGGGTCTTGATTGATTGATGTGTTGCGAATAGTCTGAATTGCTGTTATAAGATGGATTTTTTTTTCATATGATATGGTTTATGTGTATGTGTTTTTCAGATTACTTATGTCAGTTAAGTATTGCTGCTTTTAGGGTTTTCTCTCTCTCTCTCGATGGCCTATGCTATATTGTCTTGTTTTTTGTAATGGGGTTAGAAATTTGCTGATTTTGGAGCTGAAGTTTATTTGTTTCCGTGGTTTTGCTTTGTATTTGTCTTGGGTGAGTGGGTTCGTACTAGAAATGATGTTGCATTAGACTATATCTGCAGTTTGGGTTTTTTGTCCTCGTTGTAAATCTCATGACTTTATGTGGTTTTAAATATAGATTGGAGAAATGACGAGTGCAGAAGCGGGGGCGGCGACTCTTGGCCCACGATATGCGCCTGATGATCCTACTCTTCCGAAATCTTGGAAGGGGCTGATTGATGGAAGCACTGGCCTTATGTATTACTGGAATCCTGAGACTAATGTTACCCAGTATGAGAGGCCTACTGTTAAGCCTCCATCCTTGCCACTTGGCCCTCCTCCAGTTTCCACACCTAAGCTAGCTCCAATCCCGGCTGCCCACTCAGCACAGCCTAATGGCGCGGCAGCACAGATGGGCCAAATACAAGTTCCCCAGGGTGCGCAACAGCAGGGACAGCAAATGAGCCAATTAACTCAACAACAAGGACAAATAATGGGGCAGCAACCGGGTTCAATGGCAGCACAGGTTTCTGATCAGCATGGGTCACAACAACCAGGTCCTCAAATGGGACAGCATGGGCAGTTTATTGCACAGAAGAATATACCACAAACAATGCAGCATCCAAATCAGCAAATGATGAATCAAATAGGACAGCAGACGATGCAACACCAAAACTCACAAATGGGACAACCGCGAGGACATCAATATGCACATCAGCATTTGCAGTATATGGGACATCAACAAAGTGTGCTTCCACAGGGGCAACAAAGTTCTCAGCAGTTGGCTCCTCATGGTGCTCAACCCCAGGGTCAGCAATATCCAAATCAAGAAGATTATAAAGCAGCAGGTCCCAGAAAAGAAGATGTTGATTTTCAGCTAGGGAACCAAACTGGATTTTCTCCTGCTCAATTTCAACAGATGGGCAATTCTTCTCAGAATCAGTCTGCTGGAACTAATTCAGTTCCGATGCCACAGCCAGGTTATAATTTGGGTCAAGCACAGCAGTTTACTGGCTCCTCCATCAATATGCCTCCACCAACCTCTATTGGTCAGTCACAGCAAACTGGAACAGATTTGGTTCAGCGGCAACAGGGTCATAGGTTTCAGAATCAGATGGGCCCATCCATGATACAGACTAGTATGCCTCCTCCTGCCTTAAACACTAGTTATGAAGATAAACTACATGGCAGATCTGGAAATGATTACTACTTCAATAGTGGCAAAGATGGGCCAATGATGGGTCCACGGCAGCCCTTACTTTCAGCTATACCCAGAGTGAGATATCAACTAATGTTTTCTTTTCCAGATATATAATGTGTTGGAAATATAAAGTTCTTATTAGGTGGCTAATTTGGAAAACCTCTCCTGGTTTGTGCAAATGGAAACTTTTCTTATTTTACACATGCCTATATAAACACAGGATCATTTTACTACTAGAAGTCAAAAGCATGCACCCTGAATGATTATGTAGTTCATGCTCGTGGTTGGGGTTAATGTTAATTTGAGTGCTTATATGTAGAGGCAGGAGTAAGATGAGGGACATCATGGAATTAACTGTTTCTTTCAAATGTCTTCTGACTATAGGATCATCCTCATGGGGTAGTCATTTTGGTGTTTGTGACATTGAACATGGAGATCCTGGTTCTTGGTTGCTTTCTTATTTCTTATGTTAGTTCATGAATGCAACTCATTTACACCTAGTGTATGGTATAGCATTCATCATTTACTCTGTTTCTTCTTGTTTTTTTAATAAGAATTTCAGGCCTCATTAAAAACCCCCTTCTTGATTAATGGAGCTTGTAGAGAAGCTCCTTAATCAGCGGAAGGAGGAAAAGAGTGCCTTAGGATTTTATTGAAACAATAAAATTACATAAGATACAACCAACAATACAACCAACAAAACACCCCAACAGAACCAAATAAGCTGGAAACACCCATAAAACACCCAAACTAAAAACACATAATCAACGAAAACAACAGTGGTAATCCCCTTACAAAACACAGAAGAAGAAGAAACAACTCTAAACAGCCATCAACAACTTAGTAACTCAGCCTATGCCTTCTTTAGCTAGGGCATCAACCTCTAAATTGGCTGTTCTATTAACTCATCTAACAACACCTTCAAAGGCCTTAAGCCTCTGAGCAATATCTTTAATCAAGAAGGTATATGCAACATGACATAATTCATCCCCCTTAATCCAATCCAATCCACAACCACCTTACTATCACTCTCTATAATCAGACGGTCCTTGATCCTCTGTCGATAGGTTGCAAAGAAAGACAACCCAATAAGAATAGCCTTTAACTCCATCAACTTAGGAGGTCCCAGACCAGCAGTTTCCTTGAAGTAGCCTATCGTAGAACCTGATAATCTTTTAAAACTCCTCATAACCCGCTTTTCTTCCAGTCCCTTGTAGTGGTAGCATCAACATTTAATTTAACAAAACCCAACGAAGGAGGAGACCAAATTTAAGTAGGAGTAATCTGATTAGAGCGTAGAGAAACTAGGTCCCCAAGAGAAGGATCGGAAATGAGTGAGTCCTTAGGAATAGACACTTCTTTATACTTTGCTAACAACCAAGAAGCAAGCCTAAACCTTGCTAAAAAGAAGAATTCTGCCTTATCAAACTTTCCCCCTTCAAACACCACGAAATTCCTCATTTTCCAAGTGGTCCAAAGAACGACCGTTGGAATAAAAGGCCAAATCATAGACTTGGACTTTAAACCATCCCAAGCTAGAAAGAAGCTTTTAGCATCCGCTGGTAAAACATAACAAATCCTCCAATAACTTAAAAACTTATTTCAAAGGGACCACACCATCAAACAAGAGAAAAACAAATGAGAGGGAGACTCATCCGACATCTTCCATAGGGGACATAACACATCTTCAATTCCTTGAACACCTCTTTTGACAAGTTCAGTCCTAACAGCCAGCTTCCCATGAGCGATCCGCTAAAGAAAACACTCTACTCTTGGAGGCAGTAGGCCTCTCTAAATAATCTTCTTCCAGAAAAAGACCTCCTCCAATCCCAAAGTCTCCGATGAACATAGATTAACAGTTGATCTAACAGTAAAAACACCATACCCATTACCTTTCCAAATCACACGATCAGGAAATTCCGAAGAGAGTGAAAAATTTGTAATGATAGCCAGCAAGTTAGACCATTGTTTAATTTCCCAGTCATGAAGATTTCTTCTGAACTTGACATCCCAAGTCCAAACGGAAGAGATATACTCCCCAAATTCAGATAATTTCCCAAACTGATTTAAGGAAATAGTAAATAGTCTTGGGAAAATGACATCAAGTGGATGATCCACAGCCCAAATATCTTGCCAAAACCGAATATTTTTACCATCACCAACATGAAAACTACACATGCTTCTAAATTTAGTGCCAAAGAAGTCTTCTTTAAAATAATTATTTAGCAGTGATCTCCAAATCCAGGATACCTTAGGTGGAAACTTACTGTCAAGAGTTAAAACTGAAGAATCGAGTCTATATTTGGCACAAACAACTTCCCTCCAAATTGAGTCCCTATCATTGGCTAACCTCCAAGTCCATTTCCCCAAAAGCACTCTATTCATCAAGTTAAGATTAAGAACTCCTAAGCCCCCTTCACTCTTCGGCTTGCTAACATTGGACCAGCTAACCCAGTGAATTTTTCTAATGCCATTTCCCCCTCCCCATAAGAAATTGGACATGATAGAGTTAAGGGTTTTAAGAACCGAAGCTGGAATTTTAAATATGGAAAGATAATATGTAGGAAGCGAACAAAGAACCGCCTTAATTAACACTAGTCTATATGCTAAAGAAAGAGATGTTGCCTTCCACCCGGTTAGCTTGTTAAAAAAATTATTAATGATCGGTTCCCAAATAGCTGCAGAATTTCTAGTAGCACCAAGGGGAAGCCCTAGATATTCAGAAGGAAATCTGCCAATTGAACATCCAATAGAAGTAGCCCATTCTATCAGTTCCTCCTCATTAACATTAACCCCAAACAATTTACTCTTCTTCAAATTCAGTTGTAGACCAGAAACCACTTGAAATACTCTAAGCACCCTTTTGACATTCTGAATTTGCATTTTCGAAGCACCAGAAAATATAATCAAATCATCCGCCAACTGTAAATGAGACACATTTGCAGACCCCTGTTCTCTGCCAATTACCATTCCAGAAAATAAACCCTGTGACACAGCCCTTTGAATCAATAGATTAAGTAGCTCCCCTACTAAGTTAAACAACAATGGGGACAGAGAACAACTCTGTCGAAGACCTTTAGTCATTGAGAATTCCTCAAAAGGAACTCCATTTACAAGAACCGAAACAGAAGTTGTGGTTACACACTGCTCAATCCAGCCCCTCCATCTGGAACCAAAGCCCATTTTCTCCATTATTTTAAATAAAATAGATCACTCAACAGAATCGTAAGCTTTCTTGAAATCAACCTTGAATACACAACCCTTGAGACCATTTTTTCTCCAATAATCCACTCCTTCATTAGCAATTAAAGAACAGTCCAGAATATGTCTTCCTGGTATGAAGGCAAACTGAGTTGAACTAATGATGTCTGAAATGCAACCCCTCAATCTCCTCGACAAACACTTGGAAATGATCTTATACAACCCACCAACTAGGCTAATTGGCCTAAAGTCATCTAGACCGCCAATGTTCGAGACCTTTGGAATGAGAGTGATAAAAGTGTTTCTTCCTGTTTTAAAATTGATTTATTGGAAAATTCAAGTCTTTTTATTCATTTTTGCATGTAAAGGTTCTGAGATGGCATTTCATAATTCATATGTTAATACAATTTTCTAATAATACTGCTTTTCTTCTCAGGAGACGTGGGCGAGTGGTCTGCCACCTCAAAATGCCATACCTGGTCATGGTGGGGGATTCAATCCTATCGGAGGTCATGGAGTGCATAACATGTATGGTCATACTGGTCCACCTTTTCCAAATAATTCCTTGACGAGGCCCCCATTTGTTCCATCCGTGGATACTAGTAATATGTCTCCAGCTGAAGCATACTGCAAACAACATGAAGTCACGGCAACGGTCTGTGTTTCATCTGTTATTGCTAACATTTTTCATCTGTGTTAATTGATATACAGCGGTTCATAATTAGTTGGCTAGAATAGAATAAATAATCAATACCCATGTTCTTAAAATTTTGAGGCTAGTTTCTTGTTAAGTGCTGCAATTCAACTTTTGGAAACTTCTGACAGGGAATGGAATTGGATAAATATTTTTTAGAATCTTCTTAAGCATTGTGTGTTTCTTTCCTTTCCTTGAATTTGTTCATCCTTTATATCTTTAAAGAGTCTGTCTTTTATTTAATGTGGAAGAAATAATTGCATCAGTTTAGATTAATCTTGACTTCGGTTGTTTACTGAATTGCATAGGGAGACAGTGTTCCGGCACCATTCATTAGGTTTGAAGATACTGGTTTCCCTCCAGAGATACTGAGAGAGGTAAGCTTTACAGATGCTGTGATCCCCAAATTTTGGTTTGGAAATGAAATACGAATGCTTCTTGTACCATCTGGTGGCTTTATAGCTTTTCTTCTCTTTTTTAAATTTATTTTAAACTTAATTCTTTTTGCTTGTCGCAGGTGCGATATCTGCTCCGGAGGAGGAGCAAATGTCGTACGCTGCACTGCAATTGGTACACTTACAAATCCAACAATATTCTCATTTTTGGAGGCTGCAAAATGGATAGTAGGAGCCTATCTTGTACATCTTCTAAAAGGGTGGTTGGCCCTTCATCCAAATCACACTTGATGTGAATGGGACCTTGCTTAATGGCTCCGCCTCTTATTTCTTTATTGCCCTCTTTTGTTGCCTCAAGTTGCTTCTGTAAGCAACATATACTCGATAAATTTTTTGTTAAACTGCATGATAATCAAAATGGGTGTTTATGCTATATTTTCTTCTAAGAACATTTAGGATCCTATGCAGAATTCTGTTAATGCTCACTATGTACAATTTATACTTTCCTTCAGATTCATTCTGCTGGGTTTTCATCCCCCACCCCAATACAAGCACAGACATGGCCCATTGCACTACAAAGTCGGGACATTGTGGCAATTGCCAAAACTGGTTCTGGTAAAACATTGGGCTACTTGATTCCCGCTTTCATGCTTTTGAGGCAGCGGCGCAACAACTCTCTGAAGGGCCCAACAGTGTTGGTTTTGGCTCCAACCCGGGAGCTCGCTACACAAATACAAGTAGAGGTCATCAAATTTGGCCAATCTTCAAGAGTATCTTCCACGGTGGGGCTTGACTGATCTTCTTAATTAAAAGAAAAGATTATAATAAAATCTTGCTCATACAGACATGCAGTCCAAAATGAGCTTTGTTATTTCCTTTTAACTGGATTTGGTCTTCTGATTCTCTCAAATTTCTTTTCAGTGTTTGTATGGTGGAGCTCCGAAGGCTAATCAGTTGAAAGAGTTAGATCGAGGAGCCGATATTGTTGTGGCAACTCCTGGTCGGCTGAATGACATCCTTGAAATGAAAAAAATTGAGTTTGGGCAGGTGTCACTCCTTGTTCTTGATGAAGCAGATCGAATGCTTGACATGGGTTTTGAGCCCCAAATCCGCAAGATTGTTAATGAGATACCTCCTCGCAGACAAACCCTGATGTACACAGCAACGTGGCCCAAAGAAGTTAGAAAAATAGCAGCTGACCTTCTTGTCAATCCTGTCCAGGTGAACATTGGCAGTGTTGATGAGCTTGCTGCCAATAAGTCTATCACCCAGGTATACTCTAAAGTCTAAAAGATAATTGATTGGTAGCATTCATGGCAGTGTTAGTCTTAGAATGTTGTGGTTTTATTGGAGTTTGGTTGATGGGTCGTCATCAAAATATTGAATGTTGTACTTAGGAGAATGCCATGTTAATGCTCTTATTTTGATTATGATTGCATCCTGATTTCACCTTTTTAGATCATAATTAATTATGTTGATTCCGGCTGGTATGGCAAATTCGAAAAATGCTTTGTCGGAGTTCATTGGAACCTGTGATGCCTTTTTCTGTTATTCCTGGATTTATATTTGGAATTGTAATGTATCATCCAGGAGTTCAATATTTCTTTGCCTTTTGGATGACATAAACAACTCTCCCATGAGCTTACAAACATTTCATGATTTGGCAGTATGTTGAGGTTGTCCCCCAGATGGAAAAAGAGAGGCGCCTGGGGCAGATTCTCCAAGCTCAAGAACGTGGTTCAAAGGTTATTATTTTTTGCTCCACTAAGAGGTTGTGTGACCAGCTCGCTCGTAGTCTTGGACGCAACTTTGGAGCTGTTGCATTTCATGGGGATAAATCTCAGACCGAAAGGGACTGGGTCTTGAGTCAGTTCCGAAGTGGGAAATCCCCAATATTAGTTGCCACTGATGTTGCTGCCCGTGGGCTTGACATCAAAGATATAAGGTTGGTTCTTCTCTCCTTTCTGTGTCTGGGACCGTTTATTCAGCAAATGAAATTATTTTTGTTCTTAAAATTTTCTTGCTGCAGGGTGGTTATCAATTTTGATTTCCCTACTGGCATTGAGGATTATGTTCACCGAATTGGAAGAACTGGAAGAGCTGGCGCAACTGGAGTGTCTTTCACCTTTTTCTCTGAGCAGGACTGGAAGTATGCCCCCGACTTGATTCAAGTTCTGGAGAGAGCAAACCAGCATGTGCCTCCTGAGGTGCGAGAGATAGCTTCGCATGGTGGGCCTGGTTTTGGGAAGTATCAAGGTGGAATGAATAGATTTAATTCTGGTGGTAGTGGTGGGCGCTGGGACAATGGAGGCCGTGGTGGTATGAGGGATGGTGGCTTTGGTGGACGTGGTGGAATGAGGGATGGTGGCTTCGGTGGACGCGGTGGTACAAGAGATGGTGGTTTTGGTGGGCGCGGCGATATTAGGGATGGTGGCTTTGGTGGCCCTGGAGGTAGAGGTGACCCATTTTCTGGACGTGGAAACAGAGGACGCGGATTTGGTGGTCCTGCTGGTGGTCAAGGAGGTTGGGGCAGGAATGAAAGAAGCCTGCATGATCAAAATAATAGTTTTGATGGGAGAGGACGTGGTCGTTATCGTGGACGGGGACGGTTTGATAACAGAAGAGGTACTGCTGATAGGAGTGGTGGCAGGAGCTATAGCCGAAGTCCTGATATGGTTCGGACATGGCGCCATAGCCGTAGTCGAAGCCGCAGTCGTAGTTGGAGTAGGAGCCGAAGTAGAAGCAGGAGCTGGTCACGTGGCCGTAGCTACAGCCGTAGCCCTCGTCGAAGCTACAGCTGTAGTCCTGGTCGAGGCAGAAGCCATAGCCATGGTCGCCGCAGTCGAAGCCGTAGCCTCAGCTATGACAGATATGAGAAGCCAAACGAACAGAATGCCGAGCGGAAGGGTGTTGTAAAGCGGGCATTTGACTCTCCTGTCTCCTACGAACAGAACTTAGAGCAGAAGGATGTTGCAAAGCGAGCATTTGATTCTCCTCCTTCCCACGAACAGAACACTGAGCAGAAGGATGTTGCAAAGCAAGCATTTGATTCTCCCCCTGTTTCCACCATGTCTCCTGGCGGACAGGGCACTTCAGTGTTTGAAAATAGTTCTGTACAACCATTACAAACTGCTGAAAGTGCTGAGGTGCCTCGAGGAGAAGTGGGTGCAGGCCAAGTGCATCAGTCGATGACCGAGACCTAATCTTGTTTTTGCAGCTACGCATTTAGTTGACCCCGACTAATGGTGGTGCCCGCTTCCTTCAGCGACGATGCAGATAATGTTTTCTTAGATCTGATTCAGAACGGTGAAAATAATAATCAAACCAGCCGCGGCGTTACATGATCCGCTGCTGCTTTTGGGAGATTCTGTTTTAGGAGCACCAAACAATATAGATATTTAAGTATGGTACCCTATTCTCTTGAAGACTTTAATGTTGATGCAGTATCATGTTGTTGGATGAACTGCCATGCTTATTCATTTGCATTGGATTTGTTTAACGGCATCATGGATTTATATTTGTAGGAGAATATTTTGAAAATTATTGTTTCTCATAATATAAACCAAGCAACTTGAACTAACTGATCCTGAATCATTCTTTCATTTGTGTTGTTTCATGTATGTTTGTATGCAGGGGAGAAATGAGAAAGGAATTTCACCTTTTTCTGCCAAAAAAGGAGGAAAAGTTGGGGAAGGAAGAATCATCAACACACAAGCCTTAGAGGCACTTTTATTCATTCCTGGTGGGTCGAAATTTCCTTCACTATAATCAGTACGATTTAAGATAGAAAGGCATCTGATTAAATCTACAATACATATTCTCCCACAAGCAAGGATAAATGAGGAAATCATTTCCCAATGGAATCCTTATCCCAATCCCCCCGTCTCTTCGTCTTGCAGAAGCCAATACCTACCAATGGAACCTTCCTCTTCCGATTACATAATTTATTTCGAGTGAAATGAAATGAAATTTGATTAATCTAGACAAAAAATATTGTATCATTTTGAGTTTGAATCAGTAACAAATTCAAATAATTTCAAATCTATACCTAGATTCATTTTCGGATTTGAGTCCCCAGGTTTAGGTCGTTTGCTTTCTGAGATCTGAGTTAAATTCATGCTAATTAGGTTAGATTTTTTTAGTTCAAATCAAAAGTAAAGTAGTATATTAGGTAAACTACAGGGATAGTTACTTCTGTTTTATTTTTTATACATGTATGGTCATTTAATCAAAAAATATTAATGTGTATTCACGTTTGTTTTGTTTTAATTAAGATATGATCATTTAACTTCTTGATCTTTAAATAGTTAATCACTGAGACTTTAACAACTGTTAAACCATTAACGAGTTGATGATACAATAATTAAATAAAATATGATGTTTCCATGTGGATTAAAAAGGGTTAATTGACCGACTGTTTGACTTCCTTACATTAACCTAACCCTTTTTAACATACCTCGTTAATGGTAATCATAATAATTAGTACGATAATCTAACCCTTTTTCTGATTATCAAATAAAAACCTTTGTTTTGAGATTCAAAAGTTTCATGGTTGATTCATTGAGGGGGAAAAATCAAAAACTCGGAGGGAAAAAGCTTGAGGGGAAAATCTGTGGAAAAAAATCAAATTTACTGAGTGCTTTGGGGTTGATTCAAACATTTCATGAGTTGATTCATTGAGGGTTGATAATCTCTGGTATTCTCTAAGTAAAATCAAAAGTTCGCGGGGTATTATCTGGGTGAAGTAAAAAGTTCTTTCGGCATTCATCGTCTTTGGACATTCTCTGTTTAAGGTGGGTTGATATTTAGAGTTCTTATTCTCTGGATATTCATCGTCTGTAAATATTCTTTGGGTATTTTCTTTAATCGACTAGAGTTTTTTTCTATTAGTTTCAGAAGATGCTGGAAAAGAGGTTTCGCGAGAGGGGATAATGTAATGAAGTATGGTAAGGCTCTAAAGCGTAAGATTGTTTTGTCTTTTTCTATCGGTTTCTTTTCTGTTGTATCTAAAGCATAAAGTGTTTGTTCGTATGTTTGTTTTCAATTATTTTTTCTTCTTTCATATCCATAGTTTATTAATTTTATTTTGTTTGTATGTTATGTTTGCTTCTTCGAGAATATGGAATGCATGTGTGCTTGTATATAAAGCATTACTATTAGCTTTTAAAATACGTTACTGTTGTCTACTTGTCTGCTTTTATTGTTGGGTATTATGTCGACTATTACAAAAAATACATTATATTTGCTTTTTTTTTGGCTTTTATGTCGACTACTTTATGTCCACTACTAGTTATTATTAGTTTTTATGTGCTATGTAGATTCTGATTCAGGCAAATTTACTTTTGCAATTCATAATAGTGGGAATTTTCAATTTTCGTATGTAGGAAATACACTTCCAAATTTGTTGCATATTATGTCTTGTTGATTGTGATACTGTAACATCCTCAATATCGGGATAGTGACTAGATTGAAAAATTTCAGAAATTAGTGATTAAAGTAGGATAATTGAATAGTTTAATGATTTATTAGAAATATATGATGAATATTATTTAGTAATTATGGAATGAATTAAAGGGTAAAATGGTCAATTGACAAGTAAGATTTTTATTCTTCCTTTATAAGAAAAGGGAACCACGTGGAAAAGGGAGAGATTTCTCTAGAGTTCTCTTCTTCTCATTTCTTCTTCTTCACGTGGAAGCCAAGAGCAAATGTAAGTTTGATTTAGCTGTTGATTTCTTGAATTTTTAAGTTGGATTTGATTCTTTGGGGGTTATATAAGTTTAAGTAAAGCTTATATAAGTTTAAAACACCAAGAAGAGAGAATTAGAAAGGAATTTCTATTAAGAGTTTATAAATTAACTCTTATTATAAAAAGGTTTTTGAAGTTCTAAGGATGGATTTGACTTGTCAATGGTCTAATTAAGAAGTTAGAAACAATAGAATTGAATTTGGAACATGTTAAAAATTTAGTGTAATTCTTGAATTACATATGGAGAATAGGATTTTGATGTTAAAGAGGTGATTAATGAATATAAATTAGTTTGAATATGAGTAGGTAAGTTAAGAATAAGAAAGGGGATGATATATTAAGTAATTAAGCTGAAAAGAGTGGATTTTCGGGCATAAATTGGAATTCTGGGCTAATGTGCATCGGTACACATTCATCATGTACTGATGCATCAAGGGTAAATTTCCAGAAATTGTTCAGTGTGTATCGATGCACAGGAAGTGCATCGATGCACCCCTTAAAAATGGAAACATCGAATGCAATTAGTGCATCGATGCATAAGGAGTGCATCGATGCATAAGGAGTGCATCGATGCACATGTTAAGGGATGCATCGATACACTGTAGAATGCATCGATGCACTTCAAGGGGAAATAGAAATAAATCTTTCTTTTGGTCTAAGAAATGATAGATTAGAGTATATTAATTGGATACTAATATGTATCAATGTATGATTATGTAGATGTCGAACACGAACAAGTTTCGGTATGATCATCAAGTTAAGATTCGATCGAAAGAAAGGAAATCATAAAAGGGGATCGAAACTTAGTGAGGCTAAGGTGAGTGCATATTCGATAGTATATGATAGTTGATGGAAATAAGACTTGCGACAAGTATATTTCCTATAGTGTTGCGTATGAATTTATGAATAGTAACTTGTGTTTAATATGAGTGTGTGTATGCTTGTTTATATGAATTGATTTGTTCTTGTATGTGCTATGTGATTTCTTTAAAGACACTATTAAGTGATGATAAGAGAATATAAAATAAGTTAAGAAATTAAATGAGTATAAAGGATAAGTTAAGTGATAAGATCTATGTGAATATGAAAATGATCTATGTGCATATGTGATATATATGATATACAGGAACATATGTAAACAAGAGATGAAAATGATATACATGTTATATGAACACATGGGAAGTGTTATAAGATAAGTGACATATGAATATGAAATCATATGAACAGTGATATGTACATGTGAATATGTGACATGATAGATTGCTAATGCCCATGTTATGTGTAAAGAGAGCTAGAGGTATAGTTGGCATGGCAAGAGTCGAGGGTTCATAGGTCCTTCAGGACATACAGTGGTCCTTCGGGACATTTCATAGTGGTCATTCGGGACAAATTCATAGCCCCTAGTGGGACCCATATGAGCTGTGGTGACAGTATAGTGCACAACCTCAATAGACTCACATATCTACAGTTCTCATATGTATGCATGGGCTAAAATAAAAGATATAATATGAGAAAAATGTTATGTGATACTATATGTTTGTTTGGTAAAATGATGTGTATATATGTGAAAGTATGATAATAAGATGATAAAGTTATGAAGTGAGGGGTGATATGTGCGCATATGGATAATTATTTTATAGATGAATATATGAAATGTGCATAGTAGGAATTAGTATATGTATATATGGGTGTGATGCTTGTATGTGATATATTAGTAGAAATTGTTTAAACATGATAACGAGTTAGAGTTTTATTATATGTTTCTGCCTCACTAAGTCAACGACTTAACTTGTGATGGTTTCACACGTAGGTATGAGAAACGAGAGTGGAATAACAAGAAGCAAGACATGTTAGTATTTTCCTTACGATGATCAGATCAGAAACATATTGAACATATGTATTTTGTTTATAGAGTTAGTTGGCATGTAGTTACAAGATTTTAAATTGAATATGCTCTGATCATTTTAAAGAAACAATTTGATTGTAATTATTAATGTAAAATACTCATTTTTCTTACATGATGAAATTAAGATTTTAGTGGATTTGTAAAGAACAGAGTTTTGAAAAGTCAATGTGACACCTCGGACTCGGATACGGGTTGGGGGTGTTACAGATACCTTCTCTTTGTTTGAAATACGTGATATGATAGAAAAATTAAGTTTGATTGGTTCTTTTAAAGTGTATTAATGTGTATCAGATGTTGCTTTAAGTAAAGATTTCATTAGGTCATTGCTAATTAATTCTAATTGCATGACAATGGTCAACATCCTTCCTAATAATAAATACATTCAGATTTATCTGCTGCAAAAACTTGGTGAAAATAGTGATACATGAGAAGTAGAAGTTGAGGAAGAATATGATAAAGATATAAAACAACATGAGGGTAGTGATACTGAATTGGAGTTTGATGAAGGGAATTCAAAGAATACATGAATTATGTTTCAATGAGAAATGGATGGTTTTGGACCTGATGGTGTGAGATTAAATCTCAAGTCAGAATCATATACTGACAAATATGATGAACTTTATAGTGACCATGAATTTTACTTTCATAATTGTTCTAAGATAACCGAAAATAGGTATAACACATCTCGTTGGTTGGTAAAATATTATACAAAAAAAATTATGACAAACCATAATTATGATGTAGATGCTTAATTTGTCTGGGTAGTTAGGAAACCAGAAAAATTAGAGGGAACGGTTTGTAGAGAGTGGGGGTATGGTGAGTTATCAAAAAACTGTAAATGGGGGATGGTCAGTTTTTTTTAGATATAACCATTCATCAACACAAGAAAAAGGGGGGGACAATAGACAATAGGGAAACCAGAGAC